ACAAAAAAATTAATTTTAATGAATACTCCGTCTATTTATGGAATTTCCAATATAGATAGCTATTTGAAAACCAAAAGTAGATAGTGGTTTTACATCTCAAAATTAAGGGTGACAAAAAATAATCGCCTTGTCGTGGATTGACTGCCTTGTATTGTTGAATGGGTTTAATAATTTAATGCATAACTATTTTGTGTAATACGTAACACATCAAATGGTAATTGGTACATTTAGAATCATAGTTTGTGTATTAACTATGGCGTTTATACGTTGAAATGAGTATTTTAGGCCCAGGGTTTGAGACTCGTAGGAGTTTCGTATGCTTTTCGGCTTCACATTCAATTTAGCAGTGTGCTGTGTAGTTACAACTAGTTCAGATATGTATTTTGAAAGAGCTATGTTTTGCTTGTTTCGAGAGTTAAACAAAATATAAATTTACTATAGTTCCTTTTTGGTTTTTTTTTTTTTTATATTCTTTAAATACTTATTTCTATAATTAAAAGGCTTGTAATGAAGTTGTTTAAGCGATTTTTTTTGTCAAAAGTTCCAATTATTTCACATAAATTTGAAAGATGCGTAATTTTTGGTCTTTATTTGGTACTCTATTTGAGACGTTTATCGAAATTTTCAACAGTTTTACCCCTAGGTCCTTTTTTTTTTTTACATTGAAAAGCCGCAGGTAATTTGTATGCAATACTTATATTATTGTTGTATATTCATAACTAATTCTAACGATGGAATTATTATTATTCTTGAATACGAACCGATAACGGTGACGGGGGACGAAATGCAATTATATACACGGCCGTGTCGTTCTGTATATAACAATAATAATAATATCGTTCGCCGATTATGCCTCCGTACAATAATTTTAAGACTTAAAAGGGTTCAATGTCAGACGAAACTACTCGTGTTAACTGAATGTAAACAAGTATTTAATAAGAATGAAAAAAAAATAATAATAATAATAATAAAAATTAAGACCGAGAAAACGGGCGATACACACGTACGGAGAATTATTGTTATTATACAGTACAAATGTATAGCGTATAACATAATTTCGAGTCCACGGCTCGGAATGTAATTTTACATTTTCAAACATAATAATTCTATATAATAGAATATACGATAATAATAATAATAATATTATAATATTCCGTAAACCGTTGGCGACCGTTTTTTTTTTTTTTTTAAACCAACGTAATGCGTCCGGGACCGTCGAACGTACCCAAGAATATATTACGAATATTATTATAGGTAGTCTTTTTCGAATAGATATACTACGTCTGTTGGGCGTTTTTTTTTTTTGCTCCTTTTTAATTTATAAGGATACGATATTATGTTATGCGTTTATATTAGAAACTCGTGATTTTTTATTAGTTTTTTGTTTTTTTTTTGTTAGCGAAACGTGTGTATAGGCTGCAGAGGTGCTATATAGCCATATTCGACGACAATGACACAATCATCGGCAGCCTGCCGTACGTTAAAAACGCAAACTTGCCAATTATACGGTATTGTTCACGATATCAAAACAATAGGCCGAATCTATAAGGTTGTATTATTGTTTTTTAAACAATATTTTGACGGTTTGCCAAGACGCGTTTTCGAGATACACGCCTAAATTGATAAATCATAATAATATATTATAGAACCTTGTTTATAGATTGTTATAAGAATTTTAGTATCAAATTTTGATGAAAATCGAAAATATTACGGCCTTTCAAAACCGAACTTCATTCCAAATTGTTTTTTGTTTGCAATGTTTTATCGTTGTGTAGAGGTAATTAAATTTTCCTCCATATCGTTCCCAATCTACAACAGTGGCCCACTCATCGTACGAAATTTGTCAGTCTTTTTTGTTATTCAGTACACAAAATTATAGAGATCTGCAATTTCCCCCTATTACTTGTGTTGGGCATTTCTAGATGAAAGATCAAATTTTTAAATTACGGCTATTTTTGAGATATTTATATTTCATAGTTATTTAAAATTATACAGTTTTGGTTGCTTTCTTGTCCCCGAACCATGCCTGCGCTTATTTTCGAATTAATTAATTAATTAAACTCGAAGTCTTAAAAAAATGAATGACGTCGTCAACTTTATTATTTAATCCCCTAATGGAAAAAAAAACATTTGCAAATTCTAATTTGTATACTTTGTAGATTCTATATAGATTCTGGGGAGTAATAATTTTGTTAAAGGGGTATAACCCTCCTCGGCTACCATCCGAAGTAATCATTAAGGCCACATAATATAAATAAAACTGTTTTCCCTACGAATATTTGATTATAAAATCATTTTTCAGAGCTATTGTTAACGTCGACTATATTATTATTTATAAATCGCTTATTTGTGTTGTTTAACTAAAAACGTAATATTATACTCGTTTGTGTTAGTTTGACGCCAATTGTTATTGTATCGAAATCCATTAAATTAATATTATTTATTAACAGTTAAGACACAATATTTTTCCTGACAATTTTTTTTACAACGCATAGCTACGCAACCGCAACGACGACTCGATGTTTTTTTGTTATTCAGAAATATTATATGCGTTTAACATTGTGGTTTCTATGATAATGTGACTATTTCGTGAATTTTTGATGACTTTTCGAAGTAAGTAAGATGGGGTAAATAGAAACTATACTCGGGTGGAGAAAATTTAAACAAATACATGTATATAATATTTGTTTAGATAATACTGCTGTTCAAATATTAAAATATTATTATACAATGTCTATTTATTATACCAAATACATATGCATAATATACAATTGATATTATCTTTTTTATATATATTCAAATTCCACGTCAAGAAATTTGTCTGCTGTAACCGCAAAAACCGATTTTTATGAAATTTCGTAAATGTGTATTGTTTGGTCCAGTTTGAAAGATAGGATAGTTTTTATCGAGATATTTTTTATTGCAAATTTAAGGATATTTTACAGGATAAAGGGTTATTTATAAATTCTATGTATATATTATATTTATGATATCTATGCATGTATAATTTGTATCTATGGTATTGTTATGACCTGCACCGGTTGGTCCGGTTGAGCTCGTGAAAAGGCTACATGTAAACTCCTACAAAAATGACCTTTTTACCTGTATTTAAAACATAATGTAAACTCCTACATAGCCCCTTTTTACCTGCCAACAATAGATGATATAATCTCCTACACAGACCTTTTTAAATTTTAGATTCTGAGTGTAGCGAGGAATGAATATTGGTTTTTCAATGTTTATTTGAGATAATGGCACTAAGTGGGAAAAAAAGTATGATTTTACGATTTCATTATTTTAAATAAATACACACGACGTTTTAAACCAAAAATAGTTCTCTAGTGTAAAAATGATAAAAGACCGTATTTGTTGCATTTTGGATAAATAATTGTAGAGACTTACGAATGTAAGATAATAAAATGAAAAATAAAATTTAGTAAAATCGTAAGGCATCGTGTCGGACATATTAAAACATTTCGATAACGTCTAATTTATTTCAGTAAATTGAAAATACAGCAATCTATACCTCTTATTTTTGTAGTTTATGACTGATCTTTACTTATTTTACTTTTTAAAACTTTACAAATATCTAGTGTAGGAGTTAACAATGTTTTTTTTAAGAGTTAACACTATGTCAGTGTAAGAGATTACTTACTTTTGTAGGAGTTTATCATTACCCCGTGGAAATAGCCGTGGTCGGTCGGTCGGTTTCCGGTCAGATAACTGGGAAATGCGGCAGGTAGTTTTCGTTCAGAGAAAGGTACGAGTTCGAAGTGTTAATAATGCAATAAAGGTTTATCGAATCGAATAAGCTAATTGACACATTTATGAATTAGTTAAAAAAGTAAGTATGTTTAATAGTAAGTAGTCTGGACAACTACTGTTCTCGTGCCAATCTCGACTACTGTCGCACAGTAAAACGTCGTTGGGTGACAGCGGTCAAGAATTGCTACGTTAGCAACTGTTATGTATGTGTACATACAATGGAAAACTTTATTGTATACTAAGTTTTGTGTACGTATTGTATCTATGTATATGTATCGTGAAATAATGTTGAATTATGGATTACCTTAGTAATACGGAAAAAAAATAAAAAATACAAAAATAAATAAACAGTAATAAAAATGTCATAAGAACTATAATGACTTAAAATAAAGAGACTGTCGGTCTATTATTATTGGTTTGAAATAGGATGGGCTACCTTGGTATCTATGGGAAACAGATAAAAAATCGTATGACACATTAGAAAACTTTCCACATATTATTTTATTTTGTTCAATATACTGATACGGGCAAACCAAAACGGGAATAAAGGCAAAAAGATTAAAAAAATTGGCACGAGCGCGGCACAGCTAATATATATTTAGTAAATATTTAAACGCGTATTAGATATTTATTATATATGTGTATATGGTCTGCAGGTACCGTAATATATATATATATATATAGGATGATTCACTAAGCGTACTTGTCCCATTTTTTATTATTGTTTGTTAAATTTTATATGTATTCAAATTCTGATTTTTGGAATTTTTAAAAGCAGTTAATGCCGATATTTTCAAGCCGAAAATGTTGTCTTGTTCACCCCTCTTTTACTTAAATTCGAATTTTGTTTTCGATTTCACAATAATTTATCACTGCGTAAAGATATAAAGGAAATAACATTGTTCTGTAGTCTGTACAAAATTTAAGGTTATTGCATTTGCCAGGTCTCTGTGGATCACTACATAGTGCATATATCTTGTTTTTAACTTTTTTAAATTTCACATTTTCATTTTTTATATGTATACATATTTTACAATACATAAATATTAGTCAAAACAGCAAACAATTTACAAATAACATTTTTATTTTTGATATAAACAGTAAATAAACAAATTTATGTGAAGAAAACAAAAAATTATAGAAGTATTCAATTAACCATTGTAACAAACAATTAATAAACAATTAAAGCATTGGGTGTTAACAAATATTTGGAATAAAACATGGATTTTTTTAAATTATGTATTTTGACATTCCTGACAGTACCAATTTCCCTCAGGTGCGACTGTTATACCCACACACTTGAAATGATACCATTCCACTGTACAACTCTGTCTATCACATGCAATCATTGGCAATTCATTGTCGTATGGGGACCTGCAGTAACAGTACAATATTTCTTCCTTTTTTTGAGATTTCCGTGTTGATTTAATTGTTTTTGTATGTTTACGTTTTTGTTTTTTTGACAAAGGGAGACAATCAGACGCCAAATGCATTGCCCGTTCATCATTTTCGTCGACCAATTTTCTTTTTTTCGTTTTTTGTGTATTTTTCTGTTTCAACTTAGAACGGTAAGTATCATTCGATTCAAGAGTTAACAATGCATTTTTATTGTCATAAAATGTTACCTCGTCATCGATTTCAGATTCATCAGAAGAAATATTCAAATCGTGTAACGTTGTTAGAAATGGCTCTTCGGTTTTAACATCTTTCACAACCAATACGGTTTTTATAACTTTATCCATAACTTTGTTTATGATTTTGTTTATGCTGCGTTGTTCGCAATTGCTCAAAATCGTATTAAACAATTCCAAATTGTTAATTGTATTACATCTACAATTCTCGGTGTGTAATTTATTTAAATCGCTTTCCGTAGACATCTTTACGTACAACGTTAATATCTACAACTTTATGATAAAATAATAAAGCATTAAGAACAATAGCTGCAAAGAAAATAATATTATAGATATTAGAAACCATTTGTTGGTTTTCCAAATTGTCTATATTATGTAAAATTTGAAAATTATGTTTAACATAATAACAGGCACGTGTACAAAGGAGTTGTAGGGGTTCATCTCCCTCCAATATTACATGAAATTTATGATGAAACTAGATTTATAACAGAGTCTCAAAAGTGCTTCCTGCTTTTAGAAAATTATAACTGATACGGCCATATTGCATATTCTGCATTATTATCTCAATAATATGAGTTACCTTGTCATTTATAGGCTATATTCACTAAAAATATATGTTAAATGTAGTAATAGGTATTAGGTATACCTAATAGGCTAAAAATGAATGTTATGAAATATTGAAATTATTAATGAAAAATAAATAATCTTACCATTGAAATTATGTAAATTGTTTTGTTATAAGAGCATAAAAGTGTACAACCTTAATTCCCCCTCACCCCCGAAATATTTTTTTGCAAACGTACATGACTACTTGACATCTGAAAGTATATTTAATAAATATTTTTAACGGTCGGTTTAATAACAACTTTAAAGATAAGACTTACCTACACTAGTCTATACTGCCTGATTTTTAAGACTCCAATCGTATATAGGTACTCGAATAATTTCACTTCGTCGTGTTCTCACATGTATTTAATTGAATTTGATGTAGTTGATTCGCGTATACGGTATCAATGTAACGTTAATGTAAAATGAACAATTAATATCGAAGAAATCTGAGAATCTTAAACGTAGTTATAATTTCAAGAATAGTGTTATTGGTCCAATAGTGATTTACGTTTTGCTGTCAAAAAAAATACTATTTATGAATATAATAATATTGACCGGCAACCGTCATATTATAACAATAGTATCTAATAGAAGAGTGTTTTTAGCCCAATGACCCGCAGACATTAAAACAATGTTTATATTATAAGGTCCGCCGGCTTTTCAAACTTTCTCCGATTTTGTAAATTTGAAAATTAGGTGTAACATTATAATGACCATAACTTAATGAAAACACTTCTTCATTTATTCACTACCCGATAAAAATGTAACGGGATGAGGAAGGAACGGCTGTTTTTATGGATATCACGGGTATAGCGATAACTCATTGTCAATTTCATATATTTGTTTACTGTTTATTTTTTAAAACTGACGAACAAAAAAAAGGACAGACATATTTCGCACATGGGTGCAGTCCCTGTGTTTGGTGGGAAGTTAAAAAGGTAGGATACAGGAACAAATTTATTGTATATCTGTAAGCAATGATAGACCATTGCTAACGGAAAAACGATTCTGAACGGATATTGTTGCTTTGTCAACAATACAATGTATGGTATATATCTCATATGGTAAAATGATTACAATTTTTTTGTAGACAACTTTTCTACCAACAATTTTGCTCTGATTTACAATGATAGCGCTTTTTCTAAAAAAATAATCTGACTGGGAAAGTCTCCCAGCAAATGTGAAAAGCCGGGAAAAACAGGAAAATCAGTAAAATATTAAACAAATATTACTAAAGAAAATATATAATGCCTATTTAATTATTTTACTATAATATGACATATATATTTTTGACAAAGTATCACTATCAACTGAACTGCGTTTGGAATCGTTTTTAGTTAGCAATCGTTTATCGTTGCTTATAGATGTACATTAAATTACCAATAACAGTGACTACACCGTCTCCATTATCCTAGGACGTCTTTTTTCTTTTAATATTTTATGTTTTTCAATTGATTAGAGATTTGATTTATATGGTTTTGTAAAGTTTTGATGAATCAAGTCTAATGGAACATTTTCTATGTCTGTCATACTTTTTGAATTCTCTAAGCCTAAAACATATAAATTGAAATAAACGCCAGAACCTGTATGGTAAAAACGGTTTTTCTGGTACTTGGTGTAGGTTTCGAATTTCCAAATTGTGGTTACGAATGATTACGCGAATCAGTTACTAAAGTATAGAACCAATTTAAAAGAAAATAGTTGTGGTACCAGTGTAACGTAGCTCGACGACATTATTATTAATATAACCATGAATATTATAGGCGTGTACGGTTTGTACCTGTATAATAACGCCCCGTGTACTTATAATAATATATTTAACAAGATCGTAATACACCTATACCTGACGTTCTTCCACGGCTCTAAATAACGAATATTATTTGATCGTTATTCTCCTTTGATTTGAAAATGTTGTGGCAATAATCCAATTACTGCAGTTATATTGTATAGTTATATTATTATACATGCAGTATGAATCTACGGAGGGACGGGGATTGTGTGTAGTTTGTATAAAACACGTATATAGCGCATTATTATATACACATTTTAAATCCGCGGTATAATTTGCTCGACGGTCGAGCGAATAAAAACGTCTGATTTGTGTAACGTTCGGGGCCCGTTTTGGCGAAATAATATAATTAATAATTCGGACCGTTTGGGCAGTAAGAATATTATAATAATTGGAGTCCGGATTTATATTATGTTATAACGTTTGAAACATGATGTTTTTATGCAGCGAAGATTTATAAAATATTAAAAAAAAAAAAAAAATCATTAATTGTTATTAAATTCTTAGATTGTAGATAATATATTCTATTATTATTATTTATTGATGTATCGTGACTTTGTCGGTATATCAGTATATAAATATGTTTGCTCATGATTTTACAAACTACAATTCATCACAGTGAATTGTTAAACCGGTGACTAAAAATAAACTAAAAACTCGACTATATTTGTGTACCTATTTTAATCCAATAATCTAATATAGCGGAAATATGCTAAAATATTCTTTAATATGTACCATAAGCTAAAATATTCCGAAATATGAAATCCAAATATGCACTCATATGCAAAAAAAATTTTTTTAATAGTTTCTACAGGTTATGAAACAAACATTTTTTACGTTACGTTTGTTTAAACGGCGTTTTTGTATACAAATCCGGACTCGAATTATAATTTTTTTTATCGTATAAAAGAGACGATACTGTTCGTAGTCGTGTGCCTGATCTTAATGGCAGGAGAAGGGAAAACTTTTTTCTTTTGTCAACGTCATCTGCAGTGTCTGCGGAAATATTTTCCAAGAGAACCAAATAGGTTTACTTCATTATTATAATATTTGTCGATCAATATCATCAGCTGTAATGTAAAACTAATATCGATAATTAGATTAATTTTTTTAGTATGTAATAAAATTTATCTAATATTTATGTGTTGTATAATATTATATTGAATTTAATAGGTACCTGTAATAATAATACAAATATCACACTTTGCTTTATACTTATATTTTCATTATTAATCACAAAATAATACATTGTTATTGATATAAAAACAATAATTAATAATAATGAACCGGATCGTTTTGTCCGTATCACAGGTTCGTGGTAATTTGTTATCGTATATATATCAGTCACGAACTCTTGAACACGATTGTCCAAATAATGACTACCCAAATGAATAAAGTAATATTAATTTATTTTGAAAAAAATTCTGCGCGCAGGGGGAGCAGCTGCCTGCCCTGCCCCCCCCCCCCGTGCACACGTCTATGGTAGGCGGGTGTAGTCCGGAACGTATAGGACGTACGGAATTATTCAGTTTGTATACTGTTATATTGGCTAACGAAAGAACGATTCTGAGCGGAGCAATAACAGTCGTGTTTTTTTTTGTTGCCAAGGTGTAACTCGCGAAATCGAAAACATGGTTTTCGTTTATTCCAATTATTAAGAAGGTTTTCAGAAAAATAGAGAAACGAACAACCCGACCCATCAACTGGATCCGAAACGCTACAATACATTTCTTATACATTTTTTGATTGGAGCAATATCACTGGTGGAACATTTCTTAACAGGCAGAAATAAAAAAAAAACACATTTTACTAAAATCAATAAATTTCTCGTTGCGCTCAGAATCTAATAGGCATGATACGTGTGTATTTCCCAAAAGTCAAACCGTAATTTTGTTTCGAGTCTAATGTACCAATGATAAATGGTTGAAATCGAATACCAGAATTACCCACTTAGATAGGTACTAATGAGTAACGTGATTGGATTGATAAAACACTTTTTTTCTAGATACATTTCGAACACGATTTGTACGTGCCCACAGTAAATAGCAATCGTTCATTCATAGCACTTTCGATTACACAATATTTTAATTCATTCGTTACTGTCTTATTATATCAGTCGTATAGGGTACAATTTTCTTTTTCTAAATCCTTAGATTGGTTCAACGACCTCGACGGACGTTTATTCGTTCCTATGTTCATTACAGCTACTTTCAAGTGGTTTTTTCCGTGTGTTTCCTATGATCCGTTTCATAAACTGAGTTCTTCGTCTACCTCTTCCTGCATTTCATTCCATAATTTTTGCCATATGTTCATTGTTTCTCATTGTATGATCTTATTCATATTTTTTTCCTTTCCCTGATTGTTTCCCATAGTGTTTTATTTTCGTTTATGTATAACTTTTTAAGTTTACTTTATCGTTTTTAGCTTTATCCGTCCAAAAATATGATATTCAAATTGCCCTTTTTTTTTAGCCCGTATAAACAACTTGATGACATGATGAACCCCGTTTCAAATAATATACACGGTCATACTAATAGCGGAAGTGTTTTCGGTTTTCAGGTTACCGAGTTCTCCTATCTATATGCAAAGTGATATACACACGGACGAAACATGGGACCGATTGTGACGACGTCGTCGAATTGCGAAGCGCCGTCGGAGGGTAGCACGAAGAAAAAGGGTATACGGCGGTTGTTGACGCCGGCCATATTCACGA